GCCACTCTTGCTTCAGATACGGTCAATCACACCTTCCTCTAGATTTACATCTCATCTATCCGTCTCCTGCTTTTTCCTTTTGAGAGTTGTCTGTGCTCCCCATCTCTTTCCTTAGTTCCTTTGTACAAAACGTCTCACTGAAACTGACACTCAGTTGATTACCCAGGATATCCCACCTGTTGACCCCAGTGAACACTTATAAATAGCTTGGATATTTGACTTTCCTAAAGAATATGAATCTGTTGGTTGCCAGCCATGCCTCCATTCTTACCTACCAGGTTCTGGGGCTCCAAGGAAGCAGTCATTGAAGTACCCTTCTCAAGAATCCTTCCTGGCCACAGTCTCCCCTAGCTTCCCTGCCGGTTCTCACCAGCATGGTGTTGCTGCACCTGTCCTCCTTACATGTGGTTTTATTCCACTCCCTCAATAAATCACTCACTGAGCACCTACCATATCAAAATGTTATCTCTGCTTGTCACTCCAATTAAATGAGAGCTCCAAAATGACAATATTTGTTTTTCCAACAAATGCTATAGAAGACCTAATCTCTGCAGCCTTAGTGCTAATCTTACTTGATCATTAGTGAATACGCTGCAGGCTCCAGTAAAGTCAGGGAGAAGAATAACTACACAGACAATCACAATACTGAGTCACATGGACTTGGAGACATGGAGAAGACAGATCTAACTCAATTTAGTTAGACTTTTGATATATAAATTCAGAAGAAAAAACATTCTCTAATTTGGGCTTTAAATAGATCAGTTGCTAGAACACACAAGGAGAAAATAAGAAAAAGTGGGTTATAATAAACCAAGTAAACAATGCTGGCAAACTGGATTAAAGTGGAGGTGATGGAAATAGAAAAAAGTTGACAGTTTGTAACTGCCATGCAGAAAAAATTCTGTCTCCTACACCAGTCCAGTGGTTTCTAGCATTTTATGCCATATATTCATCATTGTATCACACATATATATGTGTGTGTACACACATGTATATTACATGTGTATGTGTATATATGAATACATATTTATGCCATATATATCATTATATTACATATATGTATATATATTTTTTCATCAAGGTATTTTTCATAAAAACAAATTGCAAAATGAATGAAAAATTAAAAAATGCAATATATAGGAATTTAAAATAATGGACACTGTAACATTTTGTGACAGAAGGGAATTTTAAATTTTATTTACCTGAGTCTTTGTAAAGTGTCAGTTATAAAACCACTCTCTTAACAGTTCTTGAATTCTCCCTAGACTTTTAAGCATACTCTATGTGCAGAGAGATGCTCTGTGGGAAAAGAAAAGAGCCAGATCATCCTCAGTCAGGTCTACTGTGTTTTCTGTTCCTCTCCATAGCTCCTTATTAGGGATGGATGGGTGGGTGTGCAGGTAAGAAGGCAGACATAACCTTTAAACTAAGAGCAAACTTCAGTCTGGAGAGGATGTTGGGATGGACATACTATCTTTGTCTCACTTTTTAGTGACACCAAGATCCAGGAGTACCAGTACAATACATCATAACTGACTCTAGTCCACTGGTTTTTTTCTTTCCAAGCTTTACAACCTCAACTCTTTTGCAAGGCTGAAAACACTTGCATGTTGCAAATAGTCTCTATTTCAAGGGATACTTGAAGTCATCATAGTCACAGTAGTGAGGTCCAAGTTCTGAAGCTAGGAAAGGAAGAGGCTCAATCAAGAGTTGAAGAGAATCTGTGGGCATGTAATAAATATATGCTACTGATGTATTTCTCCAGACACCCAAGCACACACTGGCACACACAGTACACATAGACGGGCATAGGGGCAGATGCAGACCCACATAGAGGTCACACAGAGGTGTGCACACAGGGCAGCAAGCAGACACACACAGGAAGACTGAACAAGGCAACGGCCGTATTGATAAAAAAAAAACTCAAAAAGTGTCATTGAGTCAAAAATAGTCTGATATCAGATTACATCACCCCTTGCTCCAGGTTCCCCAGATGTCCAGTGTCTGTCATGTTTTAGTTGATTCGTACCAGAGATCCTTATCAGTGCCGCACTGACAAAACCTGGCCCCATCTGGCCTCCTGTTCCCTTCAATAGTCCTTTGCTTCCCAAAGGAAAATTTGGTAAATAAGATCTTGGTTCCATCTGTTGGTTTAGTTTTGTTTGTTTTCCATCTTGTTCCAAGTACATGAGTACCCTTAAGCAATGCTTAATATACTAGGAACTTCAGCTATTAGACAAATGATTCTCTAACTTTTCAGGTGAGGGGGTGAAGACTGGAATGTCATCAATGGAAAAGGAAAAATCCAGAAGGCTCAATGACTTACTCCTAAATGAACCTGACCGTCTCTCTTTCCAGGGTTAGTATGCGTTTTAGAACGAAACCTTATTTCTGTTTTATGTTCTCTTCTGGACCTTGAGTACAAAGGTGATTTAAATCCTGCTGCTACTCTCAAGATAGCATGTCGGAGTCCTTCATTCAGACAAGTCTGACACCAGTTGGCTCACATGCTCCCAGACTGTCCCTATGCAGCATGTCACATGGCTCCCCTTGGCCAAAGGCTTCATCTTCTCATCACCTTATGGTAGCTCCCTGCGGATTACGCACTGCAGAGACATGTTCCAACCAGTTTTGCTCCCACAAGGTCCCTTTTTATTCAGAATTTCTGATGGTGATTGCCTTACTATATACATTTTTTCCTTAAAAGATAACTTAGTTGGGGGCTATGAAGATGGCTCAGGGGTTAAGAGAGTATTGTGCTGCGCTCAGTTTTCCGGTACCCACACGTCATCACAGCCATCTGCAATTCCGGTTCCAGTGGTCCCAATGTTGACTTCTGACCTCCATGGGCACAAGCATGTACCTCCTGCACAGATTTAGGCAAAACATGCATATATATATAAAGCAAAAAGAAATCTTTAAAATATACAAATCAGTTTAAAATTGAATAGTAGTGCATTTTTATTGTAGAAAATACATAAAAATAGAGATGTGAAAAAAATCAATGGGAGATAATCATTTGGGTACATCTTCTGTAGACAGACAATCACATATTATGTAAAGAGTGTTACCCCCACAATGACATATGGTATTGTTAATTCATCTTTTTCCTTAATAACGTGACAGAAACATTTATCCATTCCACCATATATTGTTGTACTTTTAGTGGACGAATATAATTTCATTTTAGGGACAAGTCATAATTTGAAAACCACTTGCTACTAGTTATTATTTTAGATAACTTATTTTTAATTATGCAATAAATACTATAATAAACATCATTTGCCTACAGAGAGATGAAATAACTATATGTTAATAAATTTTATGAACATCTATGATTATTTTCCAAGGATAAGTTACCAGCATTGGCATTGCTTAGTCAGAAAGCATGCATGCTTTTAAGACTTTTTTCTTCATTTGGTTTTTCTCTGATCCTGATGTTTTGAAACAGCCTCATGTAGCCCAGACAGCCTTGAACTCATAATCCTCCAGCTTCATCTTGTGATTCTAGGATTATTGGTCTTAGTAACTCACACTCAATCTTTTGATGCTTACAGAAAAATTGTTCTTCAGAAGAACTGAAGCTATATACAAATGGCATTGCATAAAAGTGTTCATTGCTATTTAAATTCCATTCTAAATAGATTATCTGTATCAAGCGTGAAGTCATCCTAACTAGTTTCTAGGACTGGGGTTTACTTTGAGCCTCACCTACACCAGTTTGGGGACCTTGCCAAGTGTGTAAACCTCCCTGATATTTTCTCTACTGACAGTGTGTGAAAGAACACAGTAACATGGAGATTCACAATCATTTCAAGCTCATTCTCCCCTTTCCTCGTGTGACATACCATAAAACATCACTGCCACCCCATATTGATATTTATTGTTTTATGTATACATTTGTTTGGCAGGAAATAGTCTGTCACCCAGGATGAATTATGATGAACAGTCAGGCCACCTATAGAATTAGAAGGCAATATCATTCATTGCCAGCAGATGCCACTACCTGATCCGTGATGTATACTCCACAGGAGAAAAGGGAGCTTAAATGTAAAGTTCCGGATACTCTGAGAGGAATCAGTGTTCAAGTTGGGTCATTAGCAGAAGACACCTGAAGTATGTAAAAATTACAGAGAGGAAGTTCTTCCAAACTTTGGAATGAGTTTCCATCATTAAATACCTTGTCCAATTTCCGTTAAAGGGTGTGTGTGTGTGTGCGTGCGTGTGTGTGTCAAGTTAAATCCTAAAGTTTTCCCAAGAGGCTTATATTAATCATGAGCTGCTTCCCAATGTATCTCTGCCACCCACTGAGTTCTGATGACTTTAAGATATGCTTGTAATGAGGGAAGACATATGGGATATGGTGTAAGTAATAGATATAGAATGAGATTCAAGGAATGGATAGTTTTCTAGTGTTCTCTGTGTGTATTTATAGTTATTAAACATTATGTCCTTTTCTCTATATACATAAATATATGCATATGTCCAAAACACTGACCCCATAAGAAGATATATATATATATATATATATATATATATATATATATATCACCATATATATATGGTGTAGTGGCATGTGCCTGCAATCCCAGCATTGGGAAAACAGAAGCATGATAATCCTTGTGCTTTGTTGGCCAGCCAGATCTTTTAGATGTTGGTAGAATAAGAGAAGATGTTGTCTCAAAAAAAAATGTGGAGGAAAAAATGAGGAGCACACACGACATCAATTTCTGGTCTTCATACACATAGATAAAAACACAAAAACAAAGGAATGGGTGAGAAGAATGGCTAGTGATATAGCTCAGCTGGTAAAGCACTTAGCTAGTATGAGGAAAGCCCGAGTTCAACTCCTAACATTTTATAAACTTGGCAGGGTAACACATACCTGAAATCAGTCAAGGACTGAAGACAGGAAGATCATCCCTGACTACACAGGGAGCCTGTGGTTAGCCTAGGCTCAAGAACCTATCTAGAAATATAATTTTTTTGTTTTGTTTCTTCCCTTTTTAATTTTTTTAAAAATATAATTTTTAAGTAAATATGAACGATTAAGTAAATGAGAGAGAAAGTACATGTGCAATGAATAGTCGGAAATTTAAGGAAAATGACATCCAGAGATTATTGAGGTCTTTAAGCATTAGAAATGCTAAATTTTATTCAAATTTTAGATAGATGAATTTCATTGAAAATATGGCAGAGTTCAGTAGTTATAAATGTTTAACATCCTTTTAAAAATCAAGACAATAGTTGTAATTTCAAAAACTGATAAGAACTTCTCCTAAAACTAATAATGATGTTTTTTTAAAGAATAATGTCTCAATCATCACTGTGAAGGGATTTGTTAAATTTCTAATTTATTTATGACACACAGATTATCTGCTTGCTCTGCTTCAGTCTGAAACAGTTATCTATCAGTATTGAGTATCACATAAGGTCCTGTTGTTTCACATACAAAAATGGCTTCCTCTACATATTAACCAGAGTTCTCTGAACCCAAGTACACGTAAGATGCTCACTTAGAGGGAAAGTAAACTTCCCCCGCCTAAAATGAACCAGACTCTGCATGGTTACATTTGATCATTTATTCAAAATAAATGAACAGTGTCTGGACATCATAGAGATGGCAGCATTAGACTTAAGACTCTTGCCTTCTTAACGCTGTTTTATAGTCAGCATAAACAGACAAGATCTAGTACAAAAACACAAACTCCAGAAAGCTAAATCCTAAAGAAAAACGAGGTGGGTTCATATTACAGACAGAGGAGAGAATTTGAGAAAGGATGATGAATAATGAATAATTGTGGTGACATTTAAATGTCTCTCTGGATTCCAAGTGTGAACTAGTCCTGAAAAAGTGGCAACCGAATGCCATTCACAAGTGGAGGGAGAGGTCAGCTGAGTGCATGCAAGGAACAAAGCGGTCATTACAGCCAGAGCCCTGTGAAAAGAGAGGGCAAAAAAGAATTGAGACTTCTAAAAGCGCCTGTATCCCAGTCTAGGGTGAGCACTTTCTTCTAAGAGCAACGGGAAGCCATCCATGAGTGTCTGCAATTGGAGTGCAATATTGAATAAGCTACAAATAGCTTATCTAAAGTGTGGGTATAATAAACATGTCTTTAGCATTGTAATAGCTGTGCTAGCTTGATGAGCTACACCCATAAACTGGGATTTTAAGATCTTACCCAACCCCCCCCCAAAAAAAAAACCTTACATGGCCTCAGAGTATGGAAATGTTTTAATACTGGAATTTCTAGCCTAACAGCAATGCAAGCTCTTGAAAATAAGAAGTCATTAAATTTATAAACATATTTAAATGCTTAAGATAAACTGGCTAAAAGGTAGGAATTGAATCAATCCTGGAGAAATGGAGGATGTGAGTCCAGCTACACTACAGACAGAAAGTGGTAAGCCGAGAAGCTGCCGAGGGTCGCTGGAGACAGAGATGCAGGAGCTCAGGGCCAGTATAGCTACAGTTATCTAACCTTTGCCACAGTAATATGACATCCTGACATACTGCAGTGTTTTAAGTGGAAGAGCCCAGGGGTGTGATCAGATTCCAGAAGTCAAATTTTCTAGAAGTAGTTAAGAAAAGGGTAAAGAGCCAACACATGAACCTCGGCAAAGCTTGCTTTTCTGTAGAGGATTCTAGAACAATGGAGGAGTTAGGACAGACCACAAGAAGCACACAGAGAACAGTGCAGTTTCTAGAAGAATGAGGAATGAAACTTGTTGGTTTTCTTTACGAGGCCTTTCACCAGCTATTCAGGGAGCCATCAGCACTTCAGGGAAGACCTGCAGGAATCAGTCTATAGCCTACCTCGGATTTGGGCTCAGACGTTTCCCTCAGAAAAGGCCAGCTGCCGGGTGTATGCTTGTGTTGTGTGTATGTCTGTCTGCATGTACATACTTAACATGCCTTAATGCATGTGATAATTTCTTGCTTCATTTGAATCGAAATGACGTTTTGCTGGAGTATAGGAAAATTGTCCAATTCTGAAGGACTCCATTCGCATAGCTAGTGAAAGAACAACCCGTTTCTTCCCACTCATTAGCAAGAGCACATCATTTTTCCTTGGCTCCCCTTACCCTCTCCTAGTTTCCTATAAGCCCTCCCATTGCCTGGTAGCTTTTCCTTTTAGACAGGGACTGGCAAACATTTGGACATTGTATATTTCTGGGTTTGCAAACCAAGAAACGAAAGTGATCACAGTATTGATGCTTGTATATATATCATATATACAAGTCATATATCTATCATTGATGACATTTGCAGCATACTAATTGAGTACAATTTCTATTTTATGCTTCAGGCTTAATTAATACACCTGAAATCAATGAGATTCAGAGAATAAAATCTTTTAGTGGATTACTTAACTTTGAGTACACTGCCCTCGGTCATCAAACCAGTTGCAAATATTTACATGCAACAAAACACTATTCCTAGACTGCACACTGAGCAAAATGAGGCACAGAAGATGGACTGAGCTTCCCCAGACTCATAGGTTATAATTTGCTGGTTGTGAGGTCCAAACCCTGAAGCCATTGAAGGAAGAGGGTCAGGGGAAGCTGTGAGGTTGAAGAATATGTGATTCCCGCCTACAGGCAGACCTAGAGGCAAAGACAAAGGAAAAGGTTTGTGACTTATGGCCTTACAAACACACACACAGTGGTCAGAAGTAGTTATATAATGGACAATGTGACTGTCTAGGTTTTCCCATTCATCCGGTGTCACCCGTCACTAGTTGACTCACGGTATCCTGGATGTTTGGTGTCAGCCATGTTTTAGCTGACTCTTCTTGGCTATCCATTTCAGTGTAATTTTGTCTAAACAAAGCCTTGAACCTCTGGTCCTCTGCTCCTTACACTGACTCTGGCTCTACCCAGCTACACAATTTGGCCACTCTATGTATTTGATATCTGGTGACCTCAAAGCAGGTAACTAGGAAACCGCCTGGCTTTCATGGTATCGCACAGGGAATTGTATTTCCATGAACGTCCAGATTTGCAAGTTTCATTTTTTTTTTAACCTAAATCGGAAAAAGCCCTCTTTCTTAGTTAAGTGTAGGTAATTTCAGTTTTCTTTTCAAGATGACGAATTTAGAGCGTGAGACATGCTCTGATCTTTAAAAATAAGGCAGAATTCTCAGCAATGTAATTGTGCTGGGTCTGCACAAGAATAGGACCCTCCGCTGCCAGATATGGATGGAGAACTGGCCCAGGGATCCCTCAAGAGTGTGGTCATTTCTGATTGTATTAGCATTAGTAACTTTACCAGGTTCTAACTGATAATCCCAAACCAATGATCATATAGCTGGCCCTGGTTAAACTAAATGGGTGGTAAAACAAACCCGAAAGTTAGGAACTTTGAAAAGGGACAAATACGGATGGGAACGTTGAAAGAGGTGGGAGAGAGCTAAAGGAGTGGTGGGGGGATGACAGAGAGTAACCAGATTCAATTGTCAAACACTAGTTCAATAAAATAAAATAAAGCAGGAAACAGCCTTTGTTTTCGTAGAGAGGTCATTGTAGAATAGATGCACAATATTTAGCGTAGAATTTATGCATGAAGCATAGTCAAATCTGTGTATGTTATAAATTCAGCATTATATAACAGACTTCTGAAGGTCTTTCCCCCAAACTCTGTATCTAACCTCTTTTGAGTACTTTCTTCTGATCATCTGTAGACTATTATAATCTCAGGACAATAAACACAGTGTCCAAAGAGAGTGAAGCACTGTAAGAAAAATACTTGTTAAATTGTCATTAGTAGGGCACACCTTTAAATTTTGCAATTAGGAAGAAACTTCAACATAGAAAGATAGCTAACCAAAAAAAAAAAAAAATGCCGACTAAAGGACCTTCATTCAAGACTTAGGATAAACACTCAACCATTGTTTAAGATCGGGATTTGTTTTGGAAGCAGAATGTCTAGGTGCTAGGGTTGGTTGGAAATTTCTGAAGGAGAGGGGGAAACAATGCAGGATGGATGCCTTGGTTCCTGACTCCCACCATCACGTGGTGAACACAGAGCCGTCCGGGTGCTAAAGAAGCAGAAACGTGGAAAGCACGCCCTACCACAGGCATTTCACGGTCTGCTTTGTTGTGGGCTCTGCTTAATAAAATACAGCTGGGAAGGGACCTCCAAGACTGCAAATTCACATCCTTATTTCAAAAATGAAAACACTACGATACAGAGACCTCGACGCTTCTTTTCGCTGTTCATTTGGGGATGGTGTTTCTCTTTGTGCTTCTGGACACTAGAGAAAACCTGGTTTCCCAGCACTTGCTCAGATGGAGGACAGCGTAGTTTCGAGGAACTTTCAGAGTCAGTTTTGCTGACGTTGTGTTTAAAAATTCATGGGTTCAGAACTGCAGTCCTGAGTCAGAAGTGCCATGGGGATTTCCAGCACTTTCTGTGGGAGACCGGCCAGGCCTCCAGTTCACTCACTTGCAGGATGTTGACAAGCCTGAGTCCCAGAAGTGAGCACATTTTATAGTTCCAGGCGGAGCTTGAAGCATTGGCCCAAAAGAGCCAAGCCATTCTGTCTTTACCAGTCAAACAGCCTGAGAGGTGAAAAGAATATGGGTTGACGAATATGCTGGAGACTTTAAATCCCAGCTCAGCTGCTCTGTGGGAGTGGCCTTAAGCACCAAAGACTGGCTGCCTATATAAGTTCCTTCTGTGAGGGCAAGAGAATGAAACCAGCTTCCCAGAGGATATTGAACTAAAAGTGAGAACTGGAGTTACAGATGGTTATGAGTTGTTATAAGGGTCCAAGGAACAGAACCCAGGTCCTCTGCGAGAACAGGGAGTGCTGTAACCACTGATCTACCTTTCCAGCTCGGAAACTAATTATACTTTAAGAAAAGATTTGAAAATATAAAGGCAACCATAAATAGGAATACTTGATAAGAAGAACTGCCTTTGTGGATGTTTAGAGCCAAACCTGGGTCATCTGTCAGAGCAGTCAGCAATCCAAACTGCCAAGCCATCTCTCCAGCTCCCACATACATGTTTTTTTATTCATCAATCACAAATAAATATGGAGGGTTATCTTAAAATGAATACCCATTTCCTCAAAGAATTGAAAATATATATTTTGTGACTCAGGTAGAAAAGATTTGAAATTCTCAAACTATGAAAAGTCTAATGGTTTCCCGGAATGGTGGACACATTCTCTGGAGAACCACGCCATGCTCCCTCTGCTGACCCTAAAGCCTTACTCAGTGACATTTGTTAGGCACCAGAATGCACACATACCAGAGTATATTTAGGATGCGGTCTATTTCTAGTCACGTAAGTTTTGTTTCCTAAATAAGCTTTCAGATTAACATTTTGGTTTGTTCCCCCAAATTTCAGCACTCCATATGGTTGAAGATGTGAGTCTCATCTTCCTACCAAGACCTTGTGTGAACTGTATCCAGTGCAGTCTTCAGACTACTCGTGGTGATAACCCACGGTGCTGGGGGATGCAGGCCATATGAGGAAGCAGGAAGTAAGAGAGGCAGGTCCGTTCCAAAGTTGAGATTCTGAGCTGCTTCCCAAATTCTCAAATGTGAGAAACGTCTTTAGCTTGATAAAACTGTTATAAATGATAACACAGAGCACACACACTCAGCTTATGCAATGCTATCTAGGATGGCAGTTACCCTAATTGGGACTCTGCAGCCTACCATTGTGCTTTGTTTTGTTGTTGTTGCTGTTGCTGCTGTTTTCGTACACTAGCAATATCATAATTGCAATTTTATCTTATTTAAGATAATCACTTACTAAGCTCCTAAGTCTAAATCGGAGTTGGGCAACATGCAAATTACGTTTATGTGACATAAAAACAAACTTACCTGATAAAGAGAGCCCATACTGCACTTTTCTGACTTGACTACTCTACAGTTATGGTTTTAGTGACCAATTTTAATTATGCTGACCAAACAATTGCCATCCCTTCCCCAAATTCTAGACCTTCTATAACACCAATAGTAATTTACTTGCAAGGGAATTAAAGGAGTAAGTCATCGCTACTTATGTCAAATTAGTTTAGAACAATAAAGTATATATGAGTAAGAAAGAAAGCTACTTCAACAAGTTTTCGTGTACTTGATTAGTTAACTCATGCAGTGACCCTGTGCTGCAAATTAGAAGCAGACATCAGAATAGTTCATTTTGTTAAGAAGAAACCACTTCTCATGGTACCATATATGAATATTCATCTTCATTCAGTCACCTTTTAAATAAGTGTTCTACGTATCAATCTTATGAATAAAATTAGTCCAAAGATCCTGTAGTATTTCTGCTCCCCAAACATAGTATTTTTCTGTTTCATCATTGTTTGCTATAATCATTGATGCAGAGTATTTCTTCTTTACACATTTCTCTAGTGGTAGAGAGACAGGCCACAATAGCTAAACAAAAGAGGTCATATAATAAGGAATCATTTGTTTTAAAAGAGCAAATCCTTTGCAATTTGCTTTTCTGATGTATTTCTAATATTAAACTTAAAATTTTTTCACATTTTCTTCGATTTCCTATTTCTACACCTCTGACCGCTTCCACTTCCATTCCTCACCTCCAGCCAACCATGCCCTACCAGAACATCCTTTGTTCCGAGAAGGCTCACCCTGAAATCCCTGGGTCAGGCATCACGGCATCCCTTGAGATTTCCTAGCAAATTCAGCCAGCAATGCAGCTGACAAGTCAGAGTTCTTACCATTTATTTTCGTTTCCTCTTGTTCTGCTCAGAACTCTCAATTAATTGATACTTAATAGAAATGTTCATAATACAATTAATAAAAGTTCTTAATAGAATTTTTAAAAACCTCACCTGTCTGAAAAATAATATAGGGGAGAAAACTGGTATTGAAGTTACAGAGATTGGGAATTGTGGTTAATCTCAGAATTTCAGTACAAGGCCCCCCAATCCTTCCACTTGAGATTCAGTGCATAAAGAGGGTGAGGAACTGACTTTGAATACTAGAGCTAGGAAGTGGGGAAAAAAAGGACATAGTGACTTTGACACATGGAACAAAGTTCTATCCATTAGAGTCCGCAGCTACACTTTAAATGCCTATTAAGAGTGTCATACTTTATACACTTATTATTTTAGGTGCCTTAATTTGCAATAAAATGTTCATGTACTATATAGAATAAAACTATTGAACCATAAACTGAAAAACAATATACCAACCATTATAAACATTAAACAAACAATAACACAAATGCAAGTCCCATGTCTCTCCAAGGTGGCAGCCATGCCTTGTGTGTTCACGGTGACTTGTATACCAGCATCAAAACATGCCAGGGTGGATGAACCCACAACCTGAATGTCTACCTCCTTACACTCTGCAGAAGCATGGGCACCGGGGCTAGGAAAGATGCCCTGGGAAAAGGTGAACATCTTCTCCTTCCCTCCCCACACTCCCCCTCCCACCAGTAGCATTCAGGGATAATCTAAACATTTATTAGTCATCTAGTTCAGAGCTTCTAAATAATTTCAGAGGGGTTAACAATTTTAGTTAAGGGTTTTGCTCTGCTCTTCTCAACTCAGCTGAAGTTTTGAAAATAAAACCATGTTCTTTACAAACCGAATCACAGTCTCAGGACTGGGACATAGACAGGAGTATTTAGAAAATCAGATGTACTTCAGTAATAACCATGACACACCGTGAGGCCTGAGGGTCTCTTGTTTAGAGACTGGAATGTTTGCCATTAGCTCAGCACCTGATGGTTTTCTTTTTATCATCTACCCGGCTCAGCATAATTCTTCAGTTCTATACGATAAAAAATTCCACTGAAAATAGCATAGTCATGAAAGGAATGTGCTTGGCACATCAGCTCAGGAGCAAACCAACCCCGGGTGTGAACAGAACTCCAGTGGATAACCCCAGGAACTTAGATTTTCTGGTCTTTTCTGCCTCTCTCTCCCACTTGCCCTCCGCTGTTCATTTCTCAGCTTTACCTTCATGATCAATTCTCCTCCTCCTCCATGGTCCCCTCAACCATCTTGTTCCTCTCACTACACTCACCAGCATCATGCTATGACTGAAGCTCACACAAAGTCAGCCAGTGGATGATGGATGGAGGGAAACGTACAAGCCCGATGGGAGGTCTTACTTTAATGAAAAGGCCACAAACCTGGGACAATACTGAAGTCAGCCCAGAATCAGATAAACTTCACCTAAAATTCTCCACTTGCGCACTTTCTCTTTTCCCTCAAGGCAGAGTTAATGGCTACTAGATGTTAAAAGGCCTACATCTTTATAACACTGGCACTTGGAGGAAAAGGAACTTTTCTAGCAACAGCCTCCAAAGTAAATAGTCAAAGGTCATGTGCTATATATCTTTCTATCTATCTATCTATCTATCTATCTGTCTGTCTGTCTGTCTGTCTGTCTGTCTGTCTGTCTGTCTATCTATCTGTCTATCTCTCTATCTATCTATCTATCTATCTATCTATCTATCTATCTATCTATCTATCATCTATTCATCTATTAGCCAATTACTTTGAGCCTGACGATATAATCTTGAGAATAGATAGTGGATGACATTTCATGTGGTGCAGGGAAGGTGCGGCACCTGAGAGACCTGTCCTGAGCTGGCGACTGCCCCAATTCATTTCTACTTCCTTACTTCAAAATCACTAAGACAGAACTGAATATAAAAGTTAATGTCCATACATTGCACTTCCAGAGAGAATACAAAGACATGTATCTCATAAACACTGACCATGTAAGATGTCCAATAAAGTAGGCTCATCCTTGAACAGAAATAAAACCTTCCATTTAAAACAGAAATTTAAGTCTCTCTTCTCTTTACTTCCTTCCTCCTCCATCAACTACAGTCAACAGTTACAACTCTAAGGATTTTCCAATCTAGTCCCACCATTAATACTTCATTTTCTGTAACATCTATCCTAATAGCTCCACCCTGATAACATACCCTTTTGTGGTGTGGAACGGCTGGGCTGTTTACGTCCCTGTAGATTTGGGTTCTTTATGACTTTTCTTGATGCATAGTCAGTGGCTCACAATACACTCATACATTAGTCAGGCAATTAGTATTTGTTGCTCAGAATGAGAAGACTGAAGATTGGGAGAGATAAGGAATGGTATGGGAGTGCCTATGCTAATCGGCCCCAGTAGTCTCGGTTCTCCTTTCGATACAAAGCCTAACCTTAGGAGATTGTGTGAATGGGACGAGTGGGTAAAGCTGAGAAATACAGGCCATAAGCAAACTTAAATTCATAGTTCAGGGAAGTGTGAAGTTGGAAGACTCAATGTGTTGCCTGTGTTCCTAACTCAGCTGCAAAGTTCTGCAAGACAGGCTCTAGAGTGCATTTGCCTTGCATTCCGCTCAGTATGTCCTACATTGTTGGAGACAGTAAGTTAAGTTTGCCTGCTTTCCATGTAGGCGAAGCCATGGGATATTTTTAAACTCATCCGTGACTCTCCACAACTGTCCTCAGAGTAAAATATCTTGTCGAAAGCCTTACTTCCAGTTAGTAGAGGGGCAGTATTCAAACCCCCATTATCTGTGCTGTGAGCTCTCTGCTCTCATCCACTCTGACAACGGCTCTCTGGCTTATTCTGTACAAGTAAAAGTGGGGAAGTTCAAATACCTCACCCTCTACTTCCTTTTAGTAGCACAAGGTTCATCCACCTTATATGTTATCTATTAAAATGAGCTGCTAGTTTTGGTCTTCTTGTTATTGTCATTTCCCAGACAGGATATTGTGATATAGTGAAGCTGCAGGGCGATTGGTAAAGAAAAGTCCCCAGACTATCTTGATACAAAATATATAGCTTTAATAAACAGAAGTAAGACTTACAACAGCTTACACCAGAATCCAACCGATCCGTCCGGACACAGGAGCCAGGCGAAAAGAGAGCTAGCGGAGCGTGTTTGCAAGGTTTATAGGCAGGCTTTTGCCTGAGGGCGGCACGCCCTGAAAACAGAATATGATTGGCTGAACTCCCCTATCAATATAGACAAGACTGACCTAAACTTCAGATCTTCCTGCCTCAGCTTCCTAAGGGCTGAAATTACAGATGTGAGTGACACCTGTCAGC